ACCATAAAATTATTTTCGTTGCTACTTCATAACTGTAATTTTGCTACTGTTATGAATCGTAATGTAAATATCTGATCTACAGGATGTATTTTCATTGTTACAAATTGAACATAATTAAAGCATAGTGATTAATCACAAAAACAATATGTAATTATATATGTGTTTTCCGATGGTCTTAGGCGACCCCTGTGAAAGGGTCGTTCGACCACCAAAGGGGTCGTGACCCATAGGTTGAGAACCGCTGACTTAGAATATTCCAGTTATATTTTGGTGAAAGAGTAAGGTAACTTCCAAGTTACCATCAATCTTCCTATCATTGTTGATTAAATTGTAATGGGGCAACCAGCGGAGATGACCACCAGGAACTCAGATCAAGATTTAGGAGCCTTTATTAAGCTGGCCAGCGACTACAGTTACAGCACCCTGCCGAAGCAAAGGCTGAACTGCAGTGCCGACTACAGGATTACAGCGTTTTTATTTGCAAAAACCACAAAGTTCGTTACAAAGCCTTGTTTACACAACTTGTTCCCGACACAGTACAGCATCAGTACAGTGACTACCTTCCTATCTATGTGTCCTAGGAACAGAGAGCACAGCATGCCCCTCCTGGCTGAAGCGCGAGATATGCAGCCCAGCACAAAATAATTTATAGTTTCCCCAGTGATCTGAATGCCAACTTTATAATATGCCATATATGCCTATATACTTGCATATTTTTTATTTCCCATCCTGCTCTATTCTTCTGTCTGTTGCTATCTGTATGTTAAACCATTTTTTAAAATTTTTAGTCATTTAAAAAATTTTTTCAATTACAGTTGACATACAATATTATATTAGTTTCAGGTGTACACCCCAGTGATTAGACATTAGAAAATTACTAAGTGACCACCCTAAAAAAATCTCATACCCATCTAACACCATACATAGTTATTAGAATACTAGAGGCCCGGTGTGTGTGTGTGTGGGGTGTCCCTCAGCCCAGCCTGCACCCTCTCCAATCTGGGACTCCTTGAGGGATGTCCGACTGCCTGTTTAGGCCCGATCCCCCAATCCCACCGGAATCGGGCCTAAATGGGCAGTCGGACATCCCTCTCACAATCCAGGCTTGCTGGCTCCCAACTTCTCGCCTGTATGCCTGCCTGATTGCCTCTAACTGCTTCTGCCTGACAGCCTGATCAACCCCTAACCACTCCCCTGCCAGCCTGATCAATGCCTAACTGCTCCCCTACCGGCCCGATTGCCCCTAACTGCCCTCCCCTGCAGGCCTGGTCCCCCCCCAACTGTCCTCCCCTACAGGCCTGGTCCCCCCCCCCTCAACTGTTCTCCCCTGCAGGCCTGGTCCCCACTAACTGCCCTCCCCTGCAGGCCTGCCCCCCCCCCCAACTGCTCTCCCCTGCAGGCCTGGTTGCATTTAATTGCACTCCCCTGCTGGCCGTCTTTGACCACATGAGGGCAGCCATCTTGTGTGTTGGAGTGATGGTCAATTTGCATATTACTGCTTTATTATATAGGATTATTGACTAAATTCCCTATGCCATACTTTACACTCCCATGACTACACTATAACTACTAACTTGTACTTCTAAATCCCTTCACCTTTTCCCCCATCCTGTCATAGTTCTTGCATCCTACATGGGGTGAACATGCAGAGAGTCCGACCAGAACTGTCCTACCAGGTATGGAAGGAGGCCGGCAAGCTCCAAGGGCCTCTCTTCGCCCGTCAGACCCTGTTGGTGCCGCAGCCCCTCTGTCCTCTGCTGATGTGCCTGCCTGCCTGGGCCAGGCGGGAACCTGGCCAGCAGGTGGTTGACCAGTCAGCCAATGAGGTGACCTGCTGAGAAAGGTCTTATCAAAGAGGGACAGTGATATTCATGGAACAGCAGCTTCTCTTGGAGATTCTAAGTGGCCCTGTGGGTGGGCAGAGCAGCTGGTGGGTGAGCTAGCTGCATGGCGGAGTGCTGAGCCAGGGGCTGTGGCCCACCTGCGAGTGGCCACAGGACAGCCTGCCTCTGCGTTTCCTTGGGCCTTCCTGTCCTTCCAGTTCCTGGACACACAGAGCCAGTGCTGCATAATGGTCATGAGCACAGGTTTGGGGACACACCATCCGAATTCCAAGGTGCGGTGCCGGGGTCCAGCCCCAGTGGTCCAGGGGTTCCCAAAGGTGTGGACAGAGTCGGCGAAGAATGAAGGACACAGAGACAGCATTCAGATCATCAGCATAGTTGGGTTCTCCCATTTATTGTCCTGTTACATCTGTACTTATACCATTTGATCCTATAAGCATGCCTCTATAGTTACATCATCATATGTTTTGGGTCCTCCTTTGACCTTCTACAGTTCCTTGTTTTATGTTTATAGTTCCTTATCTGACCTTTGATAAAAATCTTTTCTCTATCTAGCTCTGTTGATTTTAATCTTGTCTAGGTTAGTCTCTGTGTTCTATTATAAGGGCTAGTTTGTTGTCTCTATTCCAAGGTCATTATCCTATTGTTCTACTGTTAAGCTATAAGGAAATAACTGAAGGAGATTTTCCTACTCGATGGCCTAAGTAAGGATTATGTAGCTTAAGTGTGATTGTAGTTAAGGTGATTACCCGCCTGGCACTTAGTTAAGGGGTTTTACTGATTTATTCCCTTTCCTAGACCCGTTAATCCCTAACTCCATTCCCACCTGGGGAAACAACCTTTCTCGGGGAGGTGGCTCTAGTTATAACACATAGCGCTAAGAAGGGGAGCAAACATATTAAGAACAGTATGCCGTATACGCCAGGTCCCTTGGAACATATGCTGTGCAGATGTTTCTTCCCTGCAGCGACCGTGTCAAGCAGCAAGGGTGGAACAGCTTTTGGCAGTGTGGTGCCCAGTGGAGGCCACAGCTGTGCTAGCCGCTGCCCGCTGACTTGGGCCAATCAGCCAACCTCCACGTCTCAGCTCTCACGCATAAATGGGGATATTGATAATAAGGTTGTTGTGAGGATTAAATGAGCTAATCCAAAAAAAATAGTTTTTGCAGTGACTAGCCGAAGTGAGCCTTCAATGTGTTTGCTATTGTCATTAGCATTTCTAAATCTCCAGTTCTCACTTGAGACCTGGCGATGTCCCACACCACCCCAACCATAGCTGCCCACGGGGCCTGGCCAATGATGGGAAATTTTGTTGCCCTTATTTACATATTTCCTTATTTACATGTCTGTTCTTAGAATAAACTTTTCTATTTTGGAACTAACTTGAGTGTGTTTCCACTCTTAAAAGAGAAAGAGCTGCCACCCTGCAGGCTGTGGGGCAGCGAGGCGCACCTTTGTGCGGAGGCGGTGCCGCCCTCCTCTGGACAGAGAAGCAGAAGCGAGGGCGCGGGGCCTCTGGGCTGGAGCCTCTCGCCGGGGAGGGGCCTGAGTCCAGACGCCGGAAGCGGAGCTGCCTTACCCCGAAGTCACCGTGTTCAAGGCCGACCCACTCCCTCCGCTACTCCACACCCGAGAAGGCAAGGTTCAGGGACGGCTGGCCTCTGAGAGGGGCATGCTGACCCCAACATTTCTCGGTGTGAGAAATAGAAATTGTCCTGAGCCAAGTCGCTTGTGGGTGTGGCCAGCACGACAGATTCCCCAGGGGCCCTGCACCTGCCTCTGCGTACGGCCGTGGGCGGTAACCGCTCGGTTAGGGGGTCAGCAACCCAGCCCGTGACCTCGCTGAGCAAAGCACCAGCCGCACTCGGCCTCCACAGCCTCAAAGCCGCCTCACACGTCACCTGGATCTGAATACTGAGCGCGACCGGGCGGCGGCAGGCCGCCCCCCCCCCCCCCATCCCCGCTCCTGGCCTCCACACCTTCCCACCCGCGGGGCTGAGGCCGGGAACAGGACCTGCGGGCGGGGCGCAGGGAGAACACGCCGGCTGTGTCTGATCAGAAGAAACAGACCAGGTCAGAGATGGTCCGCGGAGGTGTTCAGCAGAATCAAAGACAAGCCCCAGGGCCAGGAAACAGCATGTGCAGGGGCGCTGTCATTGCGCACAAGATGTGAAACTCCGCCTTGGGGCAACTGAAACCGTTTCCCAAACCCCAGACTCTGCCTGAGTCAGCCCCGGGGCTCCCCCGGCTCCTTCGCTCCCCGCGCCGCCCCCCACCCCACCCCTGCTCCAGGCGCGCCCCCCTGCTCCACACGCGCCCCTGCTCCACGCGCCCCCCTGCTCCACGCGCGCCCCCCTGCTCCACGCGCCCCCCCTGCTCCACGCGCGCCCCCCCCTGCTCCACGCGCGCCCCCCTCTCCACCCTTGCTGCACATGTGGCCCCCACCCGCTCCGGCGCCGGCCCTCGGCCCATGCACCCGTCCTCTCTTCCTTCCGCCTCGCCCCTCGCCCACCCGCACCCCGCGCAGAGCGGCCGCCTCCCAGTGGGTTGGAGGCCCCCAGCCGGGACTCCTCCCCCAGCACCGGTGAGGACGGGCTCCTCCTGCCCGCGCAGCCCCGCTACCGAGACTGTCTTCCCTCCCCTCATTCCCTCCGTGGCTCTCAGGTGGGGACCAGCCGCCAGGAGCAGGGTTCCCCAGGGCTGACTGGTCCTGGGGTCTGGCTTCTGGCCGAGCCTTCGGGTCCCACTCCCACTGCGGCCCCCAGAGGGGCAGGCGCGGAGCGGGTGGCGGCGCCTCTGCTCGCGAGGGCGGCGGAGACCTAGTGCCGCCGGCGTCACCCTCCCCCGCCGCACCCCGCTCCCCAACACCAGGTCACCCTAGTGCAACCCCCCCCCATCTTCCCCGAGGCCACGTCACCCTCGCAGCCCCGTCACCCGCGCCGCGATGTTCTCCTCACGGCCCCCCCCCGCCCCCACCCCCGCGCTCCTTCAGACAGGGGCACAGGCTTTTGGGCTTTTTTTTTATTGTCACAGCATCAATGGCCACCCCCTGCTGGGTGCAGGCACAGCAGGCGTTTCTTGAGGCCTCGGGTCAATGAACCCTGAGGTTCGGGGGAGAGGACAGGATGGAGGGGCGCCGCCCGCTCAGCGCGCGTGGGGCGCAGGCGGCGGGCGCGGAGCCAGCGCTGGGCGGCCGGCCCCAGGCACCGCCTTGTCCCCGCTGCTCCGGCTCCGCTCAGGGGCTCAGGGAGAAGCTGGAGCCGCGGCCCCAGAGCCCGAAGAAGGGGAACACCTCCTGCGTGAAGGAGGCCGTGAAGGTGTGGATGGGCTCCCGCGTGGCCGCGTTGGCGAAGGTCACCCAGCCCACCTCGTAGTCCAGCGACACGCGCAGCTGGCGCGGCGGCTCCCGCAACGCGAGCCGCGTGGGGAAGGCGCCCAGCGCCGAGGCGCAGCCGCCCGCCAGCCGCACGGCCCACACGCCCGCCGCGGGCCGCAGGCGCAGCTCGCCCTTCCGCGGCAGCGCCCCGAGGGCCACGCCCGCCGTGCAGCTGCCGCCCGGGCCCAGGTCCACGCGCACCACCCACGTGTGCCGGCCCCCCGTGAAGCCCGCGCGGGCCAGGACGCAGGTGGCGCGGTCGAAGCGCTGGGGGCCGTCGGGCGAGCGCTGCCACTTGTAGCAGAAGCGCGCCCCCAGGCGGTCCTCCGACAGCAGCAGCTTGGGGTGGGCGGTCCCGGGGTCCAGGGAGGGGCGGGCTGTGGGGGCGAGGGGCCGGCGTCAGCGGAGGCGCCAACTCCTTCTGGAGAGGCCGGAGGTCCCCCTGCGGCCCCCGGTGGCGCAGTGACCACCAGCCGCTGGGGCCGAGGCCGCGCCTGGGCCGGCGGACTGGTTAGAAGGCTCCCAGGCTCCGCCGGGAACCTGAACCGGGACCTGTATTTGTAACAAGGTCCGCGGGTGATCGCACGTGGAAGCCCCGCAAACCGGCCCGGAGGACGTCAGCCCCGTCCCCTGGCGCTCGCCCGCCCCGCCCCTGGCCCTCCCTCCCTCCCCAGGCTCCCCATCCCCACCTGCGCTCCTCCAGGCCCCGCCCCGCCCCTGGCCCTCCCTCCCTCCCCAGGCTCCCCATCCCCACCTGCGCTCCTCCAGGCCCCGCCCCGCCCCTGGCCCTCCCTCCCTCCCCAGGCTCCCCATCCCCACCTGCGCTCCTCCAGGCCCCGCCCCGCCCCTGGCCCTCCCTCCCTCCCCAGGCTCCCCATCCCCGCCTGCGCTCCTCCAGGCCCCGCCCCGCGTCCGGCCTCCAAAGCCACCGGGTCTGGGACCACTTGCTAACAAAGCTCTGCTGACCCTGCCTCCTGTGACTTTGTCCGCGAATGGAGACCAAGGGCCAAATCAGGCACCTGCGTGGCCCCGCGACCTCGCGGCTTCTCGGGCCTTGGCTGAGAGTGACCAACAGCCCTGAGTGGGTCCCCCACCACTGCCCTCCTTCCAACGCCTGGGCTGCGAAGGGGTAGCGGCAGCCGCTGCTCTAGGAGTGTGACCCACCCCAGACCGAAGCTGCCCCGGCCAGGAGGCTTTCCGAGGCGCCTGCTCCCCTTTGGATTTAATCTTTCTCCCCTGGCCACCGGCAGACGGGCAGGAGTAGGGGGTGTGTGTGTGTGTGAGTGTGAGTGTGTGTGTGTGAGTGTGAGTGTGTGTATGAGTGTGTGAGTGTGTGTGAGTGTGTGTGTGAGTGAATGTGTGTGTGTGAGTGTGTGTGTGTGTGTGAGTGTGTGTGTGAGTGTGTGACTGTGTGTGTGTGTGACTGTGTGTGAGTGAGTGTGTGTGAGTGTGTGAGTGTGTGTGAGTGTGTGTATGTGTGACTGTGTGTGTGTGTGTGTGAGAGAGTGTGTGTGTGTGACTGAGTGAGTGTGTGTGTGTGTGAGAGTGTGTGTGTGTGTGAGTGTGTGTGTGTGTGACTGTGTGTGTGTGACTGTGTGTGTGTGACTGTGTGTGTGTGTGACTGTGTGTGTGAGAGTGTGTGTGTGTGAGTGTGTGTGTGTGTGTGACTGTGTGTGAGTGTGTGTGTGAGTGTGTGTGTGTGTGAGTGTGTGACTGTGTGTGAGTGAGTGTGTGTGTGTGAGTGTGAGTGTGAGAGTGTGTGTGTGTGACTGTGTGTGAGTGTGTGTGTGTGAGTGTGTGAGTGTGTGTGTGTGAGTGTGTGTGTGACTGTGTGTGTGAGTGTGAGTGTGAGAGTGTGTGTGTGTGACTGTGTGTGAGTGTGTGTGTGTGAGTGTGTGAGTGTGTGTGTGTGAGTGTGTGTGTGACTGTGTGTGTGAGTGTGTGTGTGAGTGTGTGTGTGTGTGACTGTGTGTGTGAGTGTGTGTGTGTGAGTGTGTGAGTGTGTGTGTGAGTGTGTGTGTGTGTGACTGTGTGTGTGAGTGTGTGTGTGAGTGTGTGTGTGTGTGAGTGTGTGACTGTGAGTGTGTGAGTGTGTGTGTGAGTGTGTGACTGTGTGTGTGTGAGAGAGTGTGTGTATGTGTGTGTGAGTGTGTGTGTGTGAGAGTGTGTGTGTGAGAGTGTGTGTGTGAGTGTGTGTGTGTGAGTGTGTTGAGTGTGTGTGTGACTGTGTGTGTGTGAGTGTGTGAGTGTGTGACTGTGTGAGTGTGTGTGTGTGTGAGTGTGTGACTGTGTGTGTGTGAGTGTGTGACTGTGTGAGTGTGTGTGTGTGTGAGTGTGTGAGTGTGTGTGTGACTGTGTGTGTGTGAGTGTGTGAGAGTGTGTGTGTGAGAGTGTGTGTGTGTGTGTGTGTGAGTGTGTGTGTTTCCTTCTCAATTTTAGATTCTTCTTTCCCTCCCGTCCAGTGGTAGGATGCTTACCTGGTTCATAGTCCAACTCACAGCGGAGTTTTTCTGTAAAGAGGACATAAAACAGGATGCGAATTTATTAGCCTCACAAAAACCCATAGATCCGTTAATGACGGAGAAACTGAGGCCCAGAGAAGGGGCAGAGAAGAATGAGGGCTGGAACGCTGCTGCCAGTGACTAGGCTTGAGCTCATCCCAGACTGGTTCTGACCCAGGTGACCCCGGGTGACCCGAGAATGTGGGTGTTTTAATAAGCTCAGGGGCGGTGCTGGCTGGGAGCCCGCTTGTCCCAGCCCTCGCCCTGCAGGGGCCTGTCTGCTCGCTGCTGCCCTCTGTCCCCAGGGCTTCGCAGAGCCGAGGACACAGTAAGTGCTCAAGAAATAGCTACTTAGTGGATGGATAGGGGCTAACTTACTTCTTGTTCTGCTTGGAAATTTCCAGGATAGGCCAAGGCCAGTCTTTGATTAGAGTAAAACTGCTCTCCCTGCCCAGCCCCTGGGAGCGCCAGCAGGGAGTGAATTCGTGGGGAGGGCTCTTCAGGTGACACTTTGGTGGGTGGGTCATTTAGAAATCGGTGGCATCATTCGTGGTGTTGTGTGTGTGTGGGGGGGTGTTGACAGAGCCAATTCCTGACCCCCAAGTCAGACCCTGCACACCCTCTCCTCCACGCCCTGTTCCGAAAAGGCTCACCGTCCAGGGCAGGCACCCCAGACCAGAGCGCAGGGCGGCGGGGAGAGGGGAGCGAATCAGCTCCCACCGGGCAGAGAGTCGCTGCTGGTTATTAACTAACAGTGTTCATCATAAAAAACTTATTCCACAGGTGCGTCTGTGGGTTTTTTAATAATTGAGAATGATAGATTTTTATTAATCACTATCTTTTTATTATTTAATTTTTAAAATTTAGCCGAAACCGGTTTGGCTCAGTGGATAGAGCGTCGGCCTGCGGACTGAAAGGTCCCAGGTTCGATTCCGGTCAAGGGCATGTACCTGGGTTGCAGGCACATCCCCAGTAGGAGATGTGCAGGGGCAGCTGATCAATGTTTCTCTCTTATCGATGTTTCTGACTCTCTATCCCTCTCCCTTCCTCTCTGTAAAAAATCAATAAAATATATTTTAAAAAAAAATTTTACTTTTTCCATCACCATGTATCCCCTCTATGCCCTCTTCCACCTCTACCACCCCACACTGTGGTCTGTGTCCAGTTCTCTCCTCTTTTTTTTTTCTTTTTTGCTCAATTCCCCCCCTCCCCCCCCCCCCCCCGCCACCTCACCCCCCTCTCCCCCACCAGAGCTGTCTGCCTGCTCTCTATGAGTCTGTCTCTATTTTGCTTGGCAGTTCAGTTTGTTCATTGAATTGCACACATGAGTGAGAGCACACGGAACGTGTATTTTTCCAACTGGCTTATTCCCTTAGCATAACGCTCTCCAGGTCCATCCATGCTGTCGCAAAGGGGAATTTTTCTTCCTAACCATTATCTTTCTTGATTGCGTAATGCCAATTGACCAGATTTGTGTTCTCCAAATCAGTTAAATTTTTTCCAGAAATCTGCGTCTTTATTACTTACTTTCATTGTCACATCACCCCAATGAGCAGATTTTATAAAGATCTGCAAATAAGGGAACCCAGGCACTGGCAGGGCCAGGAGTGGCTGGCGCTGGGTGGCGGGGTGCATGGAGGCCTGGAGAACGCTTACCCAGAAACACCTTCATCTCCCTCTGCAGCAGAAGGGCCTGCTGGGGGAGGTCCCGGATCCTCTGGCCCAGCTCAGGGGACACAGCCTCTGGTTTCCGGCACTTTCTGGCTTCACATCTAGGGCACAGAATGGCAGCATTGGGACTCTCCTCTTTCATAAAACCTCCAGGCTAGCCGTGGGCAAACTACGGCCCGCGGGCCGGATCCGGCCCATTTGAAATGAATAAAACTAAAAACAAAACAAAACAAAAGACCGTACCCTTTTATGTAATGATGCTTACTTTGAATTTATATTAGTTCACACAAACACTCCATCCATGCTTTTGTTCCGGCCTCCGGTCCAGTTTAAGAACCCATTGTGGCCCTCGAGTCAAAAAGTTTGCTCACCCCTGCTCCAGGCTCAGCACTCACCTATTCACTGGGCCTGAGCTGCCAGCTCCCACAGGGTGGGCCCCACTGCCCGCTCTTGGGCAGCGCCATGCAGGCTGCATATGGGAATGCGGTTGCATAAGTGAGAGTGCATGTGAATTTCATCCTATAGCGGGGAGTGCCATTCACTTGCATGGCACTACCTGGGCTTGGTGTGTGTGAGTATGTGCGTGTGTGCGTGTGTGTGTGTGTGTGTGTGTAAGGAGAACTATATCACTTACCTTATTAGCGTGCTCCTGATATTCTAGGAGGAGAGAGAGAGAAAGCAGGGATTCAGTTTCCACCTTCCTCCTCCCACTTTCCTTATAACTAGAAAAACAAAATACCACTCTCTTAGCCCTGGGCGTGCAAAGGGCCCCAGACCACAGAGCCGCAGCATTTGGGCTTCACCAGCCTCCCTCACGCAGCCCTCCTGCCTGCAGCTCCCGAAGGTGAAGCGAGAGGGTGAAGCCAGAGCAGGCCAGGCCCCCCTCGGCCTCCCTCCCGGGCTGCCTTTCTGATGCTTTGCTGAGACCCAGTCTCCCTCTTCCAGCGAGAGGGCGTGAGCGAGGCCAGGAAGAACGTCCTGACTGCGGAGCAGGGGCTCAGAGGGCAGTTTATGCGGGCCTAATGCTTTTCAAAGAGCTACTTCCCCTGGCATTTACCGTTGGGTCCTCACAAAGCCCCTGTGAGGTGGGTGGTGGCATGGACAGACCGAGACCAGGGAAGGAAGGACTAGAACTCAGAACCTCAGGTCCTGGGCCCATCTTCCATGGGATGAGATGTGAAGCAAAGGGGACAGGCTCGACAGAGTGAAGGCGCGGGAGAGGAGGAAGCCAGCTGGGCAGCCTCACCGTCAGGAGCTCCCTGGCCGACCGCTCCTTCTTTTCCTCCAGCTCCGTGATCAGGGCGCTGAACCGGCTCGTCTCCCCAGTGACCAGCATGTCAAACTCATCCCGTTGCTTCAAGATGTCCCCCTCCAGCCCCTCCAGCTGGGCCAAGAGAGCGCCGTGCTGCTCCTCCAGGAACTGGCGCAGGCGTGTGAACTCAGAGATCACTCTTTGTCTCCTGGTGGCCACCTGGGTCTGGGGGCCAGAGGAGAAGTCAGCAGGAAGTTATTCCTCTCCTCTTCCTCCTCTTCCTCCTCCTTGTTCTTCCTTAGTTCACTCCCATCTCTCTCCTGGCCACACCCTCCATGGCCAGTGGTAAAATCGGAGCCCCTGGCCCAGATCCCAGACGGATGTGGGAGGGCAGCGGGCTTCCTTTCCACCTGCTCGGCTGCCCAGCTTTGCTTCAGGGGAGGCGGAGGGCAGGCGCTGGGGACACCCTACCTCCTGCCTTTTGCAAAGAACATACGATGTGCACGGCACTGACTGCATTACAGGCACAATCTCATTGCAGTCTTTACAGAATTCCGCGAGGTAGTGGAAAATTTTAATCTCCACTTCACAGAGAAATACACAGAACAGAGAGCTGCTAGAAGACATAGAGCAACTTAGTGTCAGAGTCAGGATTCAGACTCCAATGACCTCAAAACCCGTACACTGTGGGGCACGGAGGAGGGGAGGGAGGGGCCAGGCAGGGGGGAGTCCTACCAGGAGGAAGTGTATCCTTTGATTTTCTCTTGACTGAATTTCTTGAATCTCCTCTGCCTCTTTTCTTAGACACTCAAGACACGTCTGTATCTGTTCCTGGAGAGAAGGGGCACACAACACTGAGGTGGGAGCAGTGGCTTCTGTAGTTGTCGTCTCATCCTCCTCTGCCCCCAGGAAGACAGGCCCTCAGCTGGCCAAGCCTGGGCCCTACGTGTCCTCAAAGCCCCTCTCTGCGGGCTGTCTTCCTCTGGCTTCTGTCCCTCGAGAGTTTTGATCAGGGATTGGCCCTTTATCCCGTGTCGACATAAGCTGTGCCTTGGGGTTCCCCCTGAGACTTTCCTTCTTCAGGGGAACATCTGATTTCTTGCCTTCGGTAAGTGGGACCTGGGACCTGTCCTGAGCTTGATACGCCCTCCTTGAAATTATTCCAACTTTCTCGCATGCCCGAAAGGGAGCACACCCAGACAACCCTCCCCTGTGAATGGAATCAATTTTCTGTGTGTGATTCTGAAGGGGAGAAGAAACATGGATGTCGCAAAATCAATCAGTTGGCTGTTTTAAAATTGCTTGCTCTCTAGACCAAGTATACACACGTAAATGTTCATATAGGTAAATTTGAAAATATATATAGAACTCTCATCATCAAAGATTAATGAACTAGGCAGGAACACTTCCAAACTCTGCTGAGGCCAGCGTTACCCTAATTCCAAAACCAGATAAAGACACTACAAAGAAAGAGAATTACAGGCCAATATCCCTGACGAACATAGATGCTAAAATCCTCAACAAAATAGTAGCAAATCTCATCCAGCAATATATTAAAAAGATCATACACCATGACCAAGTGGGATTTATTCCAGGGATGCAAGGCTGGTACAATATTTTCAAATAAATAAACATGATATATCACATACACAAATTGAAAGAGAAAAATCACATGATTACATCAATAGACGCAGAAAAAGCATTGGACAAAATCCAACACCCACTTTTGATAAAAACTCTCAGCAAAGTGAGAACAGAGGGAACATACCTCAACATGATAAAGGCCATATATGACAAACCCACAGTGAACATCATACTCAATGGGCAAAAGGTACAACCATTTCCTCTAAGAACAGGAACAAGACAGAGATGTCTACTTTCACCACTCTTATTCAATGCAGTACTGGAAGTCCTAGCCACAGCTATCAGACAAGAAGAAGAAATAAAAAGCATCCAAATTGGAAAGGAGGAAGTAACACTCTCATTATTCGCAGGTGACATGACATTGTACATAGGAAACCCTAAAGACTCCACCAAAAAACTACTAGATTTAATAAATGAATTTGGCAATGTAGCAGGATAAAAAATCAACACCCAAAAATCTATGGCTTTTTTATACAGCAATAGAGAAACTAAAAAAACAATCCCATTTACCATTGCAACAAAAAAATTAAGATACTTAAGAATAAACTTAACCAAGGAGGTAAAAGACTTGTACTCAAAAAACTACAGGACATTGAAAAAAGAAATAGAGGAAGACATAAACATGTGGAAGAATATACCATGTTCATGGATTGGTAGAATTAACATCATTAATATGTATATACTACCAAAGGCAATCTACAGATTCAGTGCAATCCCTATTAAAATACCAACAGCATATTTCACAGAGCTAGAACAAATTCTCTAAAAATTTATATGGAATAATAATAAAAAAAAGACCCTGAATAGAGGCAGCTATCTTAAGAAAGAAATACAAAGTTGGAGGAATCACAATACCAGATTTCAAGTTGTACTACAAAGCCACCGTAATCAAAACAGCCTGGTACTGGCATAAGAACAGGCATATAGATCAATGGAACAGAACAGAGAACCCAGAAATCTACCCAAGCCATTATGCTCAATTAATATTTGACAAAGGAGGCAAGAGCATACAATGGAGTCAAGACAGTCTCTTCAATAAATGGTGTTGGGAAAATTGAGCAGATACATGCCAAAAAAAAAAATAAAACCAGATCACCAACTCACACCAAACACAAGAGTAAACACAAAATGGATAAAAGACTTAAGTGTAAATCAGGAAACCATAAAAATCCTAGAAGAAACCATAGGCAGCAAAATCTCAGACATCTCTCATAGCAGTATGTTTGTGGATACATCCCCTAGGGCAAAGGAAACTAAGGAGAAAAATAAACAAATGGGACATCAAAATAAAAAGCTTCTGCACAGCAAAAGAAACCATCAACAAAATGAAAAGGGAGCCCACTGTATGGGAGAACATATTTGGCAATGATACATCTGATAAAGGGTTAATATCCAAAATATACAAGGAACTCATACAACTTAATAAAGGACAAACAATCCAATTAAAAAATGAGCTGAAACCAGTTTGGCTCAGTGGATAGAGCGTCGGCCTGCGGACTGAGGGGTCCCAGGTTCGATTCTGGTCAAGGGCATGTACCTGGGTTGCGGGCACATCCCCAGTGGGAGATGTGCAGGAGACAGCTGATCGATGTTTCTCTCTCATCGATGTTTCTAGCTCTCTATCTCTCTCCCTTCCTCTCTGTAAAAAATCAATAAAATATATTTTTTAAAAAATGGGCAAAGGACCTAAATAGACACTTCTCCAAAGTGGACATACAGGTGGACAAGAGACCTACGAAAAAATGCTCAAAGTCACTGATCATCAGAGAAATGCAAATTAAAATGACACTGAGGTACCACTTCACACCTGTCTGAACGGCTATCATCAATAAATCAACAAATGACAAGGGCTGGCGAGGATGTGGAGAAAAGGTAACCCTAGTGCACTGCTGGTGGGAATGCAGACTGGTGCAGCCACTGTGGAAAACAGTATGGAGTTTCCTCAAAAAATTAGATATGGAACTGCCATTTGCCCAGTGACCCCACTTCTATGAATATATCCTAAGAAACTGGAAACACCAATCAGAAAGAATGTGTGCACCCCTGTGTTCATAGCAGCACAATTTACAATAGCTAAGATCTGGAAACAGCCCAAGTGCCCATCAGTAGATGAGTGGATAAAAAGCTGTGATACATTTACACCAGGGAATACTATGCAGCTGTAAAAAAGAAGAATCTCTTACCCTTTGAGACAGCATGGAGGGACCTGGAGAGTATCATGCTAAGTGAACTAAGTCAGAGAAAGACAAGTATCACATGATCCCACTCATATGGGGAATCTAAGTAACAAAATAAACTGATGAACGGAGTGGATCCAGAGACATGGAAGCCTGGAACAGAGTGTGGAATCTCAGAGGGAGGGTGGGGGAGGGTGGGTGGAAGGAAGGTAATCGACTGAAGGCCTTGTAGGCATATATGCATCACCCATGGACACCGACAATAGGGTGGTGAAGGCCTGGAGGGGGGGGGGGGCGGTCAGGCTGGAGGGGGCAATGGGGGGAAAAGGGGACATATGTAATATCCTCAACAATATTTATTTTTTTAAAAGACTAATGATAGGACACATATACTAAAAACAAAACACAGACAATAAAACCAGCACACACTCCTTTAATGACAGATAAAACTGCATATCACAGATACTTACTTAACCTGTATATATACAAACACCGAGTTATTCACAAACATGAACACTCAGACGGTTAGACCTCGCCCAAACAGCGCACAGTGTAAACACAAACAGGAAGGCACGCCACTCCATTCGTGAGTCCTTCATTCCCCCTGCAGACACACCGCTCCGCCTGTCACTCCCCGCGCGGCCGGCGCTCCCCCGCTCCTCTGCCGCCGCGGTGGGTGGGCCCCCGACCAGCTCCGCTCCCCGCTCCCCGCTCCCCGCCGCGCGCCCTCCCCGGCGGCGCGCACCGCGCTGGCTCCGGTGCCCGGCTCCGCTCCGACGCCCTGAGCTAGCCCAGACCCGCCCGCGCGGCGCGGCCCCTCCTACCCGGTAGGGCCCCGCCGCCTCCTCCAGGAAGCGCACGGCGTGGGCACGGTGCTCGGCGGCCTCGCGGCACAGCGCGCACAGCTGCGCCTCGTCCTCCTCGCAGAAGAAGTAGAGCTTCTCCCCGTGCTCCGGGCAGGCGCCCCCCGCGCCCGGCCTGGACCCCGACTTGAGGCGCTCGATGTTCGCCACCACGCTGGCCAGCTGCCAGTTGGGCCGGAAGCCGCCGGCGCGGAAAGGCTCCTTGCAGAGCGGGCAGGCGGGGGCCCCCGAGGCCGGGCCCGGGGTCTCGCAGTACCGCGTGAGGCAGCCGCGGCAGAAGTTGTGGCCGCAGTCGATGGTGACCGGCTCCCTGAGGACGCCCTGGCAGATGGGGCAGCTGACCTCCTCTTCCAGGCTGGTCACCGGGGTGGCCGCGGCCATGCTGCTGGGCTGAGGAGGAAGGACGGGGAGAGCAGTGAGGACTCACACTCACACACACAGGCGCGGCCGCTGCGCCTCGCGTGGCCAGGGCTCTGCTGTCCTCCCAAAGGAGAGACACCTCCGGGCCGAGGAGAACTGCGCGGGGTGGCTCTGGTCCTTCCAGGGATAACCTCGGCTCTCCCTGGACCCCGTGCAGGGCCGCGGCCACAGACAGTCGCGCGGGAGGAGGTGTCACCGCAGTGCACCGTGGAGAGGCTTCTTGTGGGGGCCAGAAGGGGAGCCGGTGCCGCCCAGCCTCCTGCCCGGGCCAGCTGGGCCGGGAGATGGGAGGTATCAGCCGGCCCAGGGGAGTGTGGGCCCAGATAAGGGCTGTGCCGGGCTGCCCGCCAGCGGCCTGCAGGCGGCTGCGGGGGAGGAAGAGCCCTCAAAGCCGCCTTCGTGATGCCGCCTGCGCCCTCCCGGAGGCCGGCCGTGCTCTCCCTCCTGCCTGCTCAGCGCTCCGGCTCTCAGGATGTTGGCGGCTGGGCCGTCACTTGCCCGCGGCCCTGCTGAGATCTGCGTGTCCCCCTTGTGCTGTCCGGTAACAGCGCAGCGGGAGCCACGTGTGCAGTCTAAGCTTGTCTCAGCCGTCATATAAAACGTGAACAGTGAAGCAACTTTCATATTTTATTTAGCGTCAAATGTCACTTTAACGTCATCAGTATACAAGTGAGGCACGGCCTGCTTCATTCACTGGGGGCATATGGCCGCACCTCAGTGTCCGCAGCCCCACGCAGCCGGCGGGGCTGGGCTGGCGAGCAGGGCGGGTGCAGGGAGGTGACCACAAAGCAGCTGGCGGAAGGCCGAGGGCGGAGCAGAGTGGGGCTGGCCCGGGCCGGGGCGGGAGAGTGAGGGTTTCGCGGTCTGAGGCACAGGTTCATGGGTGGAGAACTGCGGCTGTTGGGTGGCTGTGGGCTGGGAGGCTGCAGAGCCCAGGCTGGTGGCCCCGCGGGTGTGCGCTGTCTAGCTCAGAGCCTGCCCTTTTCTGTAAAATGGAGGTTTTCATGCCTCCCCCAGGGCTCTCATCAGATTGGGTATAATAATGTGAAATCAAGTGCTGGTAAACGTGGCTGAGTATGCCAATCTCTGACGGACCAGTTTTCTCAAGTCTATCAACATGCATCCTGTGTTGCGTCTCTCTCTCTCTCATCTTCTCCCACCTGCAGTCAGTGAAGTGCCTGTGACCAGACCTGGGGACCCTGGTGCTGGGAGGGGCGGGGTAGGACTTTAGGGGAAACCAGTCTGGGCAGGTGAGGTGAGGCAAAGAAAGCAGGGCAGGGAGGGTCCAAGAGCAGTCGCCTCGGACCTGATTACCCCCCCCCAACCTCCCCCCCCAGGGCGAATCCCGAGTCTCTCACCTCCCACTCGGCTGGACTTGGTTCTCGGTGGGCAAGCCAGAAGTTTATGCTCCCCAAGTGTCCCCTCAACCACCCAGTCAAGGCAGGGACTCCCTGCCGCTGGGCATGTGTGCTTCCCACCATAGGGAGTGGAAGGGTGGGAAGCAGTGGAGGGGCCTCGGAGAGTGGGCCAGCTGCTGGGGAGCAGAGGCCAGAGGGAGGCCAGGGCAGAAACCAGGGGGAGGGCAGGGCAGAAGCCAGGGGGAAGCCACGGCAGAGGCCAGGGGGAGGCCAGGGCAGAGGCCAGGGGGAGGCCAGGGCAAAAACCAGGAGGAGGCCAGGGCAGAAGCCAGGGGGAGGCCAGGGCAGAGGCCAGGGGGAGGCCAGGGCAGAGGCCAGGGGGGGGCCAGGGCAGAAACCAGGGGGAGGCCAGGGCAGAGGCCAGGGGGAGGCCAGGGCTCTGGGAAGCCCGAGAGGAGGAACCTGGTGGCTTCCCTGCACAGACACCCTCACCCTCCATGACTCACATAACACAGACTCTGTGTAATTTCACATCCCGCGTGGTTCAGGGTTCAGGCTCTGGAAGAGGGGCCACACGCAAATGAAAGAGACAAGACAAGAGATAATAATTTGGAAAGGGGGGGGCAGGTAGGAGCCCATCCCCAGAGGAAGGACTCCTGTTGTGCTCTGGCCTCACCATCCTTTTATTCAGTTTGGGACCCACCCATAGCCCTTAGGCAGGCAGGTAACAGACAGACTATCTTATCAGTAAGGATTTACATGACTATCTGGTGGGGAAGTTGCCTCAGCTACCATTGTCTCAACTAAATGGTGGGTGCATAGCCCTTACCTTTGCCAGGGCTCAAGGGTCACCAGCACTCGGGCTCCTTGCCCACACCTCTCTGCTAGAGAAGACAATAGGCGGCTTCCCACAAGACTCCACTTCAGGGAAAGGGACTCTGTGCGTCTGAGGCAGAGGCCCGAGTGCACGGCTGGAAGGCACCCTAATGCCTTCAACCTCCCGAGAGGAGGCTGCCTGCCCAGCCTGCCAGGGGCCCCTGAAGGAGGCAGTGACTGCCAGCTGCGGACACACCTCTGCCCTGGTGCTTCTCAGCTTCCCACATGGGCCAGCCTCCAGCAGGATCCCCCTCTGTCTCCTCTGGGCTCCCTGGGGAGACCTGCAGGGAGCTGGGCGAGAAGATCTCTGTGTGCGGGAAGGTGGCGCCCACCCGAGGTGGGTATGGGGGGATGGGTGCGGGGGCCGGCGGGGGGATGGGGGCTGCGCTGCCTGTCCGGCAGGACAGTGGGTGTCCCCGTGAAGGGAATGGGTCTGGGTGAAGGGCTGTGGCCCCACATCAGGGACCCAAGGCTGCTGGGACGGGACGGGAGCACTCCGGGCCGGGGCCCTGGTCCCTCTGCCCCCTGGGCGTGTTATGGGTTAGCTCAGAGAGATAGACCACCGACTCAGAATTTAAATTTTAAGAGCCTTTATTAAGCTGAACAGCTGACTGCTAGCCGTGTCCTTCCCATAAGAGCCCACAGCTTGCAGTACAGACCAAGAGTACAGCAAGACCTTTTATCTGCAACACTACAAAGTATTTTTTTTAAAAAAAGAAAAAAAACTGCAAAGGGTTCATTAGCCGTTCCTGGTACTGGCAGGGTAAAAAGTTTACATAAAATTTACGAGCAGGGTCACACCTGGCTGGATTCAATCATAACACATTGCTTTTCTAGCGAGATAATTAGCCATTTTTCTCTCCCATGGTCCCTGCCCCTCAGCCTACTTAGTAATTCTTGTTTGTCAGGCCCCTGCCCCTAGCACAGGTGCTCCAGCTCAGGACCCCACGCTGATGGGGCACAAAGAGCTGTCTCCCTGGAAGGAAAGCCTCAGTGTAGGGCTGGGGGCTTGGCCGCCCAGGATTCAGACTGGAAATGGGATTGGTTTCCCAAGGCCCTGACAGGGCCCGGGACGCCCTGGAAGCACTGCTCTCCTCTTGGAGCGGGGAGGCGTGGCCACTGCCACCTGGACTTGGGGCATCACCCCTTCCCGCCCGCCCCTCTCACATCTCTCCTCACCAGTCACCTGGTCAGGAAGCCGTTTCCTCAGATGCATCTCAGGCCTCTAACTGCATTATCCCCACGGCGACCAAAACCAGGCTCTCTCCGCCTGTCCCCCACCTGCTCCTCGCCTTCCCACCTATCCCATGCCTGCTACGAGGCAGGCCTTCCTAAACACCAAGTCCAGTATGCTGCTCCCCATCACCTGCTCCCATGGCGCCCTGGAGCCCCAGGAAGGCTGCTTCCTGCCACCAGGCGTCCAAGCCAAAGGCTCTGCTCAGTGGCCCTGCCCTCCTGCCACTCAGCTCTCTCAGTTGCCTTCCCCCAAGACAGGTGCCAGCACGCTGCCCGGGGCACCCGCTGTGTTCTGAATTCTTGACTCTTTCTTGCTTCTAATACTTTTCACATGTAGTTTCTTCCTCCTCGACTGCTTTCCTGTCCTCACACCCCACCCACACCTTTTAAAAAAATTACCATTAAGTCCTCTCCTCCCCTCCTCTTTCCAACTGAAAATTCATCTTTTCAGGTGAACTGTAAATGCTGTTTGCATTTTAAAACCCTCCCCTGTCCCTACAGGCAGAGCTGCCCCCTTTGTGTCCCCTCACTGTGTCCTCTCACTGTGTCCCCTCTCACTGTGTGCCAGAGGCTGGTCCATCCTTGTTGCTTGACACAGTCGCTGCAGGGAAGAAACACCTGCACAGCATATGTTTCAAGGGACCTGGCGTATGTATATAGCATACTGTTCTTAATATGTTTGCTCCCCTTCTTAGCGCTGTGTTCTAACCAAGGCCACCTCCCCGAGAAAGGTTGTTTCCCCAGGTGGGGATTTTTCTCTGGAGTTAGGGATTAACAGGACTAAGGAAGGGAATAAATCAGTAAAACCCCTTAACTAAGTGCCAGGCGGGTAGTTAATCACCTTAACTACGAACAATCACGCTTACCCTACATAATCTTTACTTAGGATAATCTCTTTCAGTTACTTCCTTGTAGCTTAACAGAACAGTAGAGTAGTGACCTTGGAATGGAGATAACAAACTAGCCCTAACCTTTGGAATAGAATGGATAGGATTAAACTCAACAGAGCTAGATGGACATGGGATTTTTGGCAAAGGTCAGATAAGAAACCATGGACATGAAACAAGGAACTGTAGGTCAAGGGAGAACCCGAAACATACCATGATGTGACTATAGAGGCATGCTTATAGGATCAAATGGTATAAATACAGATGTAACAGGACAATAAAAAGAGAACCTGGCTATGCTGATGATCTGAACGCTGCCTCAGTATCATTCCTTCTTTGCCAACTCCATCTACACCTTTGGGAACCCCTAGACCTGCTCGGGCTGGACCCGAACAACTGTGTCCCCTCTCACTGTGTCCTCTCACTGTGTACCCTCTCACTGTGTTTTCACACTGTTTCCCCTCTCACCGTGTCCTCTCACGGTGTCGCCTTTCACTGTGTCCTCTCAAGGTGGCCCCTCTCACTGTGTTCCCTCGCACTGTGTCCTCTCACTGTGTCCTCTCACTGTGTCCTCTCATTGTGTCCCCTCTCACTGTGTCCTCTCACTGTGTCCTCTCATTGTGTCCCCTCACTGTGTCCTCTCACTGTGTCCCCTCACTGTGTCCTCTCACTATGTCCTCTCATTGTGTCCCCTCACTGTGTCCTCTCACTGTGTCCCCTCACTGTGTCCTCTCACTGTGTCCTCTCATTGTGTCCCCTCACTGTGTCCTCTCACTGTGTCCTCTCACTGTGACCTCTCACTGTGTCCTCTCATTGTGTCCCGTCACTGTGTCCTCTCATTGTGTCCCCTCTAACTGTGTCCTCTCACTGTGTCCTCTCATTGTGTCCCGTCACTGTGTCCTCTCACTGTGTCCTCTCATTGGGTCCCCTCACTGTGTCCTCTCACTGTGTACCCTCTCACTGTGTTTTCACACTGTGACCTCTCACTGTGTCCTCTCATTGTGTCCCCTCTAACTGTGTCCTCTAACTGTGTCCTCTCATTGTGTCCCATCTCACTGTGCCCTCTCACTGTCCCTCTCACTGTGTTCCCTCTCACTGTGTCTTCTCTCACCATGTCCTCTCACTGTGTCCTCTCACTGTGTCCTCTCACTGTGTCCTCTCA